GTCTTCGACCTGAAAAATCAGGGGTTAGGATTTGCACCCGGTCGAAAGAAACCTTGCTATCGCAAGAGTAACTCCAGCTAGCTTCGCTAGCTTTCGTGATTATTAGCATTAAGCTGGCTTTACGATTTAAAACCCTCAGAACCATCAGAGTGGCTCCCGTCTGCCTTCTGGTCCATGATCCCTCCCGTCTCCCGTCTTGGGGTCCGTTCCCGTACGGCGCAGTGTTCGTTCCGTTGCGCCGGACCGCAGACACTGGGGATGTGGACACGACGGCTGGACGGGACTCAGGCACTATCCAGGATCTCCAGACAGGATGGTCCAGGGCTCGGGCTGTAGGGGCTGTAGGGCTTGGATGGGGTCAGTGCCTGCAGACCATAGACCGAACTTACTTGTTCACGACTGGGGGAGATCCCCTCTACCAGCACCTGACTCAGGTCTCCGAAAATGGAGGCCTTCAATGCAGACTTCAAAGTCGCAGCTGGTGACCTGGCAGGTTTCAGGTCCTTGTACAGTTTGATCTCCTTATTTCTGCCACTCTCAGGTCATCATTGGACGCTTAGGACGCTGATGCTGCGCGTCATACCGACGGTTCATCAACCAAGCGTGCGTCCCATCCAAGTCGGTCCAAGTGCGTCCCATCCGATTCCTACATCCAAACCTCCGGACCCCGCTGAGTCCATGGACGCCCCCGAGACGTCCATCGCAGTGATGGTCGCCGCCGCAGCCGAGTGGAGGAGTTCGGGGTCCGACCGGGTCGAGCGAGTTCGGGGTCGTCCGGGCTTTGGCCGGGCATCTGTTTGAAGAGACATGGGACTTCCCTATCCCTGACACGACTAATAGGACTGCCATATGCCGAGAAACGGCCAGGGGTGGTGCCAGGGGTCTTTCTGGGGCGGCAGTCCGTCCTGGCAGTCCCAGACAGGTCGTGTATGGCAGAGTACGGAACTTGGAGGACCCCAACTTCCCCAAGTCCCTACTGAACCCCATCTATCTCTGGATGCGGAGAACAGAAGCAAGTCTTCATCCAACCAGAAAACGAAGGCTACAGGCTACTCGTCACAAGGGCATCGCTCCGTTAGCTCCGGGGCAAAATTCCGCGGGTTGAACCCCAAACCCCGCGGAGCCCGCGCCCGGCATCCGCGACATCGGATGTGCAGCTGCAGCGGGTGTCCGAGGGGCTGATGCCATGAGCTCAACCACTTGAAGCGATTCTCCAAGGCGTTCATCAACTCATCGAAGTTTTGGAAGAATTTGTACCTTGAGGGTGGTGTGTTTCGCCCCAATGGCCGATGAGAAGCAGGACCAACGTGGTGTGGTGAGGCTTGAAATGAAAGGAATTTGTACCTGCCCCGAGGATCCCGGACCCGCAAATACCCGCGTTTTGAGGGACCCCAAACCCCTGTTGTAGAGGCTTCAACCCCTGGATCTGGAGGGTCCCCTGGATCCTAAAGATAAAACCATGCCTTCCAGGGCTTAAAATGGGAACGACCTGACCTGCAGTGACTATAGTGTAAAAGTCCGGAGTAAAACCAATGGTTCTTCGGGACAACGCGCGTCTCAAATTGGAGGGCCTGGAAGCCGTCCCCGTCCCCGTCCGGGCTCCCAGGAGCCGTTGGAGTCGTCGAACGACTTCTCTTCTCTTCAGCCGTTGGCTTTCGATCTGTCGCCAGCCAGTTCCACGGAACGGGGTGCCAACTAAACGAACAGAGAGGTGCCCCCTTCGGTCCCGCGGGTGCCCCTGTCACATCCACGGCCCGAGACGAGAAACACCACCCTGCTATCTCTTTCTATGGCTTTTGGCGAGTCCCAACTTCGGCGAGAAAGAACCTACATGTGACAGGAACACATATTATCTGACTTTGCTGTGCCCTTTCATTTTCTTGGATGTGTTGGGAACATACAATAGGGCTCCAACCACATGCTCAGAAGGTAGTTCGACACGCCTGGCACCTGCTCCAACCACCCTTCTGAGGACGTGTTGGGAACATCAGATGGTTCCTCTGAAAACTGCCCTGTTCTCCGAGCCTGTTGGACCTTTCGAAGGACAAGTGGTAACTGCCGAGCAGGAAAGAAGCTGCAGGAGCTGGTCGTAGGGAAGTGGAGAGTGGTGAAAGAATTTGCTAAGATCCATGAGGTTAGGGGTGCCCAGAACATCCACTCACTGGATGGGACTAAACACCACCCCTTTGTGACTGCTGGTATAAGGAATTCCTATTGTCATGTCATGTTGTACCGCTACCAGGACCTTCCAAGAGGTGTCCAAAAACCACTGGCCTTGGAAGGTCCTGCTAGTTCCAACTAATCGGACACGTTCACTCCTCCCGGCTGATTCCTCAGCCCCGGAAGCCCTGGTGACTGGTCTCACTGTTTGGACCCTTTTACCACCAAAGCTGGGAGCGTTTTGGGATCGCCTCACCTTCGCTTCCTGTTGCATATTGGGATCACCTCACCTGCAGCGGATTTTCCTCGTCCTCCCCAAGTCCCAACCAAAAGGCCGCAGTAAGTCGTCCTCGGGGAGGTCGAAGCGGCGCCTTGCCCCCCCACTGCCGCTTTGAGGCACGAGAACCACTTGGATGGATGGGTCAGTCAATAACATTGCTTTTCAGGCCCACTCTGTCAGCCACATTGACCAATCCTTGCCACCCGAATTCCAGGGCTCTCTCTAGCATGCGCTAGCCTCTTTTACGAGGTGATGGGTGTCCCAAAACCACCGGGCGATGTCGGAAGGTCGTACACTCGAGCCCTGACTTCGTAGTGTGAACACCACCTGTTTCGTCTTCTTGGGAGTGTAGAGTGTAGGCTCTGTTGCCATCCGCGTATCATATGATTCTTGGGAGTGTAGGCTCAAACGATGCACTCTTCACCTCCATTTGGCATCCGACCGCTCCGAAGCTCCGTTACCACCTGCACTTGAATAGAGGTGCCCCAGGGCCCCATCTGTTCGGATCCAAAAACCACCTGGCCCTACTGCCGGGTGCAACTCACGGAGCATCTGGTGCTGAAGAAGGGAACGAGCCCTCAACACCTGTTCGCAGTATCAAGACCGCCAAGTTATTCTCCAGGAGTCCTGACCCACCAGCTGATGTTGGACGACTTTCTCAGCATAACAACCATTGTTTTGCCTATAAGGATCTATATAATATATATATATATATATGGATTTTCACACTACAACACCAAGTCGTTGCCACTTCTAAATGGTCAATTCGTCCCACAGTCTTTCGCGGATGTTCCTTCACAACTCCTGGGCTTCACCTAGCCCCAGCCCTGTCCAGCTGTCGCATGCAGCAGCCGAATCGCACGAGGTCCCGAAGGCGCGCTTTCTCCGTCTCGGCCCCAAGAAGGAATGGGAGAGGCCGGAAGGAACTCGGGGGAGGCCCGTCGCGCGCGTGGAGCTTCTGCGCTGTTGGGATACAGCACCCATAGCACCCATAGACCCTGACTCTATGGAGGTCTTTTCGAAAGAAGCTGTAGTAATGCCCTCCAACCTAATAGCGATGCCCTCCAACCTAGTGATGCCCTCCAACCTAATAGCGATGGCCTCCAACCTAGTAGCGATGGCCTCCAACCTGGTAGCGATGGCCT